ATAAGCTTTATAAAAATATCAAGTTTTTTATTTTCCATTCACTAGAACAAAAACTGTAAGTGTTTGAGTAACAGCAGATGCCATAACTTTAGATAAGATGTCAAACTTTAAAACGCGTTTTACTCGAAATTGTTTTTTTTTTCTTCAAAAACTTCAAACGGGGACAGAGATTGCTCAAAAAGTTTTTTAAATAATTTGCTGAAATTTTGTATGTATGTTCTGTATAACAGTAAAAGTGTTTTAACCTTCAGATCTATCAACCACTGTTTTATTACAAAATTCACAGTTCTTTATGTGAATATAATCACTGTATTTTTAAAGCAATTTCATATAATAACTAAGATAAAGTGCTCTAGTTTTTGTAAAAATTAAAATATCTTTTATCCTGGAGGTCATTTAAAAAAAGAATAGCAAAGTAATACATCAAAATTGAAAAATTGATAATGTGTTCATTTACTATTTGTACAGAGCGGGCCTCCATGTAATTTTTTGTCAATTTTTACCCATTTTTTTACATTTTAGTAGTAATAATTTATTTTTCTCTTCTAAATTTTAGCCTTTTTTCTTAAAATGTACTGAATTAATCTAAAAACCCAAAGAAATCTCCACATCTCCATTTTTTTTATTAAAAAAAAGTTGTCGCAAGTAGTCGGAAGCTTTGGTTTGAATTTCTCCTTTGTTCCTGAAAATAAATCCTGTGTCTTTTTATCTTTATTTCTTTATTTTATTTTGGTTAGAGTGTAATCCGTCGCATTTAATGTGCACTTATAATACAATAATTATCAAAACTTAAAAGTGCGCGTAATACGCCGAATATATATAAAATTGACAGTTTTATAAATATTATAATTCTGCATGCATCTAAATACTGTTTATTTTAATGAAATGACTTAACTTATGAACATCCATTTTTGGATAACATGAAAAAATCGTCCTATTCGTCTTTCGTTGTTTCTTCAAGCACATATTATCGAGTTCTATTTTATTTTTTCACCATCACTGTTACTCTGAATCATAAAATCATTGGTGTAACGTACACCCCCAACCCTCGCATTATGTGTGGGGGGCAGGGATTCTAGGGGGCCCAAAGCCTGATTGATGCTAAGTACATATTTGAGCTTGGGGCTCAAAACTTGATTTTTCAGGGAGTGGCCCTAATATTCTCCGTTATGCCACTGTATAAAGTCCTAGCATTAAGCTTCCAGTTGTACTCAAAAACATTCTTTTTGTTATATCTTGATTTAAAAAGGAAATGACTTGATTTTCCAAACCGGAAATATACTGCATTTATTCGAATCTAAACCGTCATCGATTCTAAGCCGCACTCGAAATTTTCAACACGCTTTTGCGAAAAAATTAAAAAGTAGTGTAAAAAGGTTTATTGTTATTCTATACTTTCTAAATTTTAAAAAAAAATAAAATGAGAACTAATAAAAAGTGAAGAACTAATTCATTTTACCAATATTTAAATCTTTTAAATATACATAATTAATTCCTTTGACCATCAATACTGCGCTCAATTTCCCCAATCCAACGAATTTTTTTGTCTTTGATTCTAAGCCGCACCCAATTTTCAGAAACATTTACATTCGAAAAAAGTGCGGCCTAAGTTCGAATAAATGCAGCATTTCTTTTTTACATCTCCGACCCCCCCTTCTGGAAGTCGATTTCCGCAAAACCCATTCTTAGCGGATCTTTACTCTATAAAGGAAATATGTCTGCCAAATTGCAAGTTTGTACAGTGGGTGATCGGTTAACGAACATAATCCGTTCCAAGACTATGTTCGCTATCCGAATTGTTCATTAACCGATCATCGATTCACCATATACTTCTATGTGAAATCGATTAATTCGTTCTGGAGACGATAAAAATTAAATTTTAAAAAATGTATAAGTTCTTAGTAAGCTTTTTAAAAAATAATACGTACATATATAGTCTTGCATATTAATCAGTCCTTTTCATTTTTTGCTTATGGGGGCGTCCAATGTCGATTGCTTTTCTCTCTTTTTCAGGGATTTTCCGGAAATAATTAATAGCATTGTCGTTGTAAAGATCCCCAACCCTACTGACATCAGCTTGATTTGGGTGCCATTCTAAGACCATTGCTCTGACAGCCTTCCACTTTTTCAAAATATCTTTAATAGCAGATGTCGGCATTAGTCCTCTTTCGTCTTCCTCTTGTTCAGAAGGAGACACATTTCACTGTGTTTCTTGGTTTTCTTCGTTCAAAATTTCTTAAGAGTTCTTCTATCGTCAGTTCATCTTCATGTCCCATTATGAGCTCTTCTATGTCATCCTCGTTCACCTCCAATTCCAGATCTCTAGAAGTTGTCAAAATTTCATCCATAATTTCAGGGGTGTCTCCCTGATCACCTCCGAATATGTGTTCGTTGTCCAAACACAAAAAATATTTCTTGAAAGTGTTCGTTATCCGAACACAAAAATCTTTCGTGAAAGTGTTTGTTAACCGATTTGTTCGTTAACCGATCTGTTCGTTAACCGATCTGTTCGTTAACCGATCACCCACTGTAGTTTAATAGTTCAAAAAAGAGAATTCGATTTTTTTATGTATAACGCTCCTCTTTTGGGGATTTGATTTCCATAAAACCCGTTCTTAAAGAACCTCTACTCCGCAAAAGATACTCGCTTGTCAAAATTGAAAGTCTGTAGGTCCAGTAGTTTGAAGACGGAATTTTTTCTTTTTAAGTCTCTCCCCAACACTTTCCGGGAGTCGATTACCATAAGACCCATTCTTAGCGGACCTCTACTCAACAAAACAAATATGCCAAATTTCAAGTCTATATGTATAATAGTTCCACAGATCTCGTGATAAGTGAGTGAGTGAATAAATGAGTGAGTGAATAAATGAGTGAGTGAATAAATGAGTGAATGAATGAATGAGTGAGTTACTTCTTTCCTACATATGTATATAGATTTTTTTGAAGTTATTACAACTTTATTATTATGCAAGTAAAAAAAAAGCATGGTATCCCAACACGTTCGGAGTACTTTTTGACAAAATAACGTATTTAAAACATTATAAATGCTTTTTTAGGACTGAATAGCAATAAATATTAATATTTAACCAACAATGTTTAAAATAAATTACCTAAATTTCACAAAAATCACAATTATAAGTGAAATTTTAGCAATATTTTTCTATAACTTCAAAGCAATTAGAGAAAAAAGTAATAAAGTTATATTAGTAAAAGTATGACCAAAGCAAATTAGGTGCAGTTATCTAGAGAATGTACAAAAATTTTAATGCTTTATTAAAATTTGAAAAATTTAATAAACATTGGATTGAGTAAACATTATAAGGAAAATCACATTCTTTATTAGACCATTATTTAAATAACAAGCCCTAACTCAAAAAGTACTCATACAATAAGAAATATTTTAGTACATTCTTTACAAAATAGCTTAAATATTAGGTTCAAAAAGTTTTATAGAAATACATTTGTAATGTTTTGAGACATCAGACTCGCCATGATAGATTTTGAACAATTTAAATGTCCACTTCTGGTAGATCAAAGACCCACTTCCCGTTTTTCTAACTTTATAAATTTGATTGTAGCTTGGCCTCCAGGTAGCGTAGAAACAAAACAAAGTATGTTTTGTAAAGCCAAAAGATAGCTCTATTCAATAAAATAAAAAATAAAAATATTTGTCTAGACCGAATTTGGTAATTTTCAACGTGCTCGGATACCTTAACAAAGTAACATGGCCCTTCAATTTAGCTTTGTAAATCTTACGGATCGTCTCCATCCTATCAAAACCAGGGAGGACAACAAGACAAGATAATGTGGATAATTTATTGATGTAATGAATGTTTTTCTGCAGGTACGGCGTTCACGACTACCTCAATTGCACGGCTGTTGAGGTCCCTTTCCGGGGTGGTCTCATCTCACTTGTTGCACTACTGCCAAACGACCCCGAGGGCATGGCCATGCTGGAGACCCGCATCAGCGCTCAGCGCCTTACCGACATCATCAACTCGATGCAGGTCAAGAGGGTCAACTTCCAGGTCAGTTTGTAATTTCTTTCTTTGCTGAATGAGTCTTTGTTCTAGGAAAGGGTGGATGGTGCCCTCCGACAATGGGTCCGCAGCTCATGCGACGCAAAACATGATGAGAGCCAACCGACCCGAACCGCAAACCGGAGTGTTTTAGACATGGGGCACTTCCATTCGCACGCCATATGTATATTTCTCTCCAGGAAGTGTTGTCTGCCCCAATGGTTTTCAAATTCTCATACATTTTCATTTTAGCTTTAAAATTCCCCCATAGTTGAATTATGTTTTTGTTCAATAACTGACACTCTGAATCTCGTTATGTTGCTTCAATGCACATTTGAAGGATTTATTCCTGGTCGCATTTGCGGTGGGTATGTAGTTTAAAACACATATTCATTCACTATTCAGGACAGAAGGAACAATTAATCAGTGGCATACTCAAGAGTGGTAGGGAGTTCAACCCCTCCCAAAGACCAACAGATTTTTAATTTTTACCACAGTGATTAAACCTCGGCGCTTTTGTATACGCGTTTTTTGATTCCTACTACTTTAGCTTACACTCTCCCTCTAAATATATTTATTTGCACATACCATATATCTTGTTCTAATTTTCAGTCTCTAATAAAATATTTTTTAACATCTACTCAAGTTCAAATACATTTTTTTAAACTTGTAGTTGATGACACTTGATATTAATACATTTTTTTCAAATATTGATTCATTAATTCTATTTAATTGATAAATAAATAGTGTTACAAGCAAAAATAATAGTCCAAACAGTGGCGTGACGTACATTCCTGGAACCTCCGCATTGCGAGGGGCCCAGGGTTCTGGGGTCTCCAAAGCCTTACTGCCGCCAAGTACCTTACCCTTTGTAAAATTCAACTTGGGGGCCCAAAACTTGACTTTGCAGGGGGGGGGCGCAAATATTCTGTTTCGCCACTGAGTCCAACAGCACATATAGAAAGGAAAATCGCTCGTTGTATCCCTGTAGCGTAATAGATAGCGCGTCTGACTTCTAATCCAAATATCGTGGGTTCGAATCCCACCTGGGATGGCCTAATTTCTCAGAATGTGATTTCTTTTTTTCTATTTTATTGGAATAACTACCTGATATACCCGTTCTTCGTACGGGTGAATTTAAAAATCAAGCAATACAGACTGAAGGATAAAGGAGTTTTTAATGAGTTAATTTTACGTGAATTGTAAATTTAAAAAAAATGTTTTTGCATAGCTCAGCTGAACAAGAAAACCATGTTCGCTATAGTTTAAATCATAAGATATAATAGCTGAATTTTTATAATTATTATTATTGTTTATGACGCCCCGTTAACTTTCTTGTGGGTCGATTTTTAAAAACACCTACCTGCTCAGCAAAAGTAACACATTGTTACAAATTTTGTGCAATAAACGCTTAAAATAGTGTAAATAATTTGTATCTGGATGTGTAATACGTTAATATTACTTTCTGATGCATTTATTTTAAGTTAAATAGCTGTTACCCGATACTTCGTCCACGTGGAATTTAACAAAAAAGTGTTTATTCACTTCGCAGAGTTTACGAAAACTTAATAATTATATATTCTACGTAAAGAAATACCTATGCTATAAGTATAATGTCATTCTTCTACTTTGTGAATGTATGTTTGTTTTTGTTTTATTTTTTCATTGTTTTTTGTTGAGCAAGGTGTGAAAGGGACGCATAATCCCTATTTGAATCGGATATTGCTCACTATTTCATTGGTTTTAATTTTATTTACTCGAAACCCTAATTTATTTTTTCTATAATTTTAATCTGCCTGCAAAAGTTTTGTTTGGTCCAGCCGTTTTTCTCGAACAAACAGACAGACAAAAATTTTTTATTTTTCATTATACCGTATATAGTTTTAAATGCATTTAGTAAAAGCTGTTAATTCAAATTACAAATAACTTCATTTTTATTTATATGTATAGATTAAATTTCATGAATGAATCTGCCTGCAATATAGAAAGGAAAATTCGTCAAGGAAAATTGCTTTCTATATTTCCCAGCCGTTTATATTAAAATTAGCCGGAACAAACAGACAGACAAAAACTGGTTTTTGCAAAAAATTGATTTTTTCATAATTGCGTTGTATGCATTTCGTATATAGTTTTAAATAGCATTTAGTAAAAAAGCTGTTAATTTCAAATTACAAGTCTGGGCTGACACTTCATTTTTATTTATTGGCGGTGCGGTGCGGTCATGGGCGCACTCCTTTTTGTAATATGTGAAAACGCTTTTATAGATTAAATTTCATGAATGAATAAATTGTAACAAAAAACGGGTAGCCATGATTTTAACAGGATTTGTTTGAACTTGGCGACAATATAGAAAGGTCTCGGAAAATGGAAAATTGTTGTTCCAAGGAAAATTGCTTGGTCTATATTTCCACTTAATAGTATGATTCTGTCCTATGTATATATATATATTTATATTAATGGTAATTATTTAATTAAAAATCTGCGCACCATAACACAAATAAAATGTTTCTTTGTTGACCGAATAACCGCAACTCGCAGCTGGCGGGAGACGCAAGAGGAAGCTCCATCGCTAACGGCTGCTGACTCAAAATGCCTTTTTTATAGTGGTATATTATTTGTTTAGAATGTAATCCCCATAAGAATGTAACTACCCCTTCTGTATATGCCACTAAATAAACTAAGAGCTCATCGTGTTGAATGGCTGTTGCTTATTAAATCCATCAGGAATCAAAGTCTTCATGATTAACGTGAAAAGGTTAACATTTCAAGACGTGTTTGTAAGTTGTAGTTAATGAACCTACATATCGTGAAGAAATAGAAAGCTTCCAATAATCACGGATTCTGTTTTGTAGGAGAAAAGGTACAAAAAAGTTCAACCTGTTTTCCAGAAAGAAAAGGAGAGTACCTTGAGATGTAGTTGGAAGAACATTAGATGGTCATGCTATAATAGAGGGGGGGATATCATCCGCTTTAAAAAGAAGTGTTCTTGTTACTATTTATTTAATAATATGATGACAATGTTCAGACTTAAAAGGATTGTTCGATAAAATTGTTACAAATATTACTTGCAACATAGCAACGGTACGAGTGTGACTACTGATTCTAAATCTGATCACCACAAAGGCGATTTGTATAAATTTCCCTGTAAAACCTGTTTTTCTGCGGATTGCCTAACTTAGCAGGAAAAGGTTGTGATACTTGTAATAATTTTAAAAAGATATGTCTGTACTTTTAAGCACGATAAATAAATGTATATTATTTGAAGTTTACTAAAAAAATTTCAAATATAAAAATACATATATATATATATAGAGAGAGAGAGAGAGAGAGAGAAATCATAATAGGTCTCCAGTTTAGTCCACACACACAAAAATTTTTGTGTATCTACATCTGTTGAGTCTTGTGAACTCCAATTTCTTCCTTCTTTAGCATTGTAGGTTCTATAACTTTTTCACTTTTATTTTATTATGCTATATATTATTATTACGAGATATTTTATCTACCTCCTCTAGAAAAATTTAATGAAAGAAATGATTTTGTGTGTTTAACAAAAAATAGATAGTTGATCGTCATTTACTTTTAGGGGGTTAATCTGATTTTTTTTAAAAACAAAGAAGTCAAAAACTGGTGTTGGTAAATTTTTTTATTATTTTCTTTTAATGAATAAAAATTTTGTATAGAAACACTTGTTTTGAAAAAAAAAGAGGGCAAAAAGTTATTTTAAAAATTTGATTATTCCAAATATATTTTGATCACAATTAAAATATTTAAAGCATCAATACACGTATATCCCGAAATTTTATTTAAAAAAATATATAATACTTGCATTTTTTCAGAAAAAATTTGCTAGTATTATATTTATTCTAATTTTCTTTCAAATCATTTTCCTCTTACTTATTTATACGTTAAATTTCAACGAATATCAAATAATGCCCTATTGCTGGAAAAGAAGTTCCTTAATATTATTTTACCTTATTATTATTTATACTTAAACGTATTTTAAAGTTCATAAAATTTTTTAAGCAATTTTTTTTAACATAGTATTTTTTCTATAGAATTTAAGTGAGGTAAAACAATTCGTTTTCATTTACATTTTTGAAAATCATTTGAAATCTTTCCATTATATGTCTGGAATATAATGGTTTGACTAATATGTCTCTATAGAGTTTGCAATTTTGAGATTATTAAGTCCTATTATGTATTTATGAGTTATGTGAACTTTGAACAGCTTCTTTATCTGAGTTATTTAAACGTATTTTATTGCAGTGATTTAGCACTTAAAATTCTTTGCGAATTCTTTAACCCCTCGTTTTATCGAGTTATGTGAAGTTGTTTTGAATCCGCACGAATCTTCAATTGTTTGCTGACGCATATTTGAATGTTTGTCAAAGAGCCTTCGAAACAAAGTTCAAAACGTTTTTTTACAGAGATAATTCCTATTTTCAATCAAGTTAAATGTTGTCCTAGTAATTCATAGAATTTGAATTTATTTTGTGAATTTAGTTTATACGAATTTATATTTTGTGAACAAAACACCGGACACATTTGCTCATAACACTCACACTAAAACACAAATATTAGGTTAGTGAATATGTAAAACTGTATATCTTTTTACAAAAGCAGTTTATTTAATCGAAATATGCTCCATTTGCTTCAATACACCTTTCCCAACGAGGTTTTAATTCATACATGCCTGTCTTAAGGAAGTTTGGATCTTAGAATAATAAAATTTAATAAAAAAATTTTCAGACTGTCTTCATTTTCATACGGTTTACCCCGCAAAAACGTTTGCAAATATTTTTTAAAAACAAGTAATATAAAAAAATAAGTCAAAGAAATATTTTATTTTACTTTTTATTGAATAGTTACAATTAATATAAATATGTATATACATATGACAGAATCACTAGATTAAGTGGCAAAATAAAAAGCGATTTTTCTTTCCATTGTCCTTTTTCCTTCCTATATAGGGTGTTGGACTGTTTTTTTATTACTACTTATTCATTAATTAAATTTAATTATTTTAATAAAATAGTAGAGTAAAAAAATCACATTCCCAGAAATGATGCCTTCTCAGGTGGGACTCGAATTCCCGACCTTGGATTAGAAGTCCAATGCGTTATCCATTGTGCTACAGGGAGACAATGAACGATTTTACTTTCTATATATGCTGTTGGACTGTTATTTTTGTTTGTTACTATTTATTCATTTTTTAATTTAATTAATGAATTAATAATTAAGTTTAAAAAAATGTGTTTGAACTAGAATGAATGAATAGAAAGTATTTTATTAACAATTGAAAATTTAAATAAGATATATATATATATATATATATATATATATATATATATATATATATATATATATATATATATATATATAATAGGAATATGAAAAATATAGATGTGAGCCGGAATTGAAAAATTAATGCCGGTTGGCGAAAGCTCAGGTGAAAAATCTGGGTGCTGCGAAAATTCATATTTTAATTCATTTAATTTCACAATTATCTGTACAGCGTATACGGCTGAGCATTGTCGTGGAGAAGAATTGGGTCTACTGATTAGCAAGTGATGGTGGTAAAATTTTCAATTTTTCACTCATTTCTTCAATGTACTGGCAGTATAATAGATACAGTTGGATTCGTATCTACCAAAGCTTTCAGAGCATCGATCTTCACACTTTCTGAGTCTTCCACGCAATTCACTTTGTAGGGAAAAGCCCTCAGATCGAAATTTTTCAAACCAACGCTGCACTGTTGGCAGGGACGTCTTAAAGTATGGGCCAATTGGGCCCGGGCTCAGGGCCTCGTCTCATTCCCGACTCAGCTTTAATAAGATCATGATTTGCATAATTTCAACGGTCAAATGTTATTTCCGGTTACATTATACGAAAAACTAGGAATTTCGGATGGTATGTCAACTGGCTAAATGTGATGACCATGGTTCATGTATAGGTCTAGGCAGTGGCGTGACGGAGGATATTAGGGCCACCCTGCAAAGTTCAGCTTTTGGACCCCAAGCCCTCATAGTTACTTGGTGTCAGTCAGGCTTTGGG